TTTCACTTTATAATGGAATTTACATAGTTTTTTGTGGCAGTCGTGACAAAACCATAAATGTCTGCGGGAAGCAGAAGCACTCAGGTTCACTCGAAGCTCCACAGAATCAGGAACACACACACTTTTGTTTTCCATGAAACTAAACATGAGGTAGAGGTTTGCATTTTGGGTCAAGGGATAGAAAAGCTGTACTTAGTTGCCATCAAAAATACTAATTGAGTAAGGAATCCATCAGCCGGTGCTGTGGCCACTGGCCTTTAGTTGTTGCACATGCCTGCTGAGTGTTTTGTTTTTTCACTTTTGCTTTTTCCACGGACTGCACTGACGTGTCAGTTCAGGTTTTACCCATTTTAACAGAAAGTGTTGAAGCTTTTGGTTTACTTTCAGTTTTACTTAGTGGTTCACAATAACTTTGCTGTGGAAACTAAAGAACACAGTCACATCCTTGAACTGAGCTGGGAACACATGAACAACTGTGTTTTTAGTTTACAGTGACTCAGTAGCGCTAGCCTCACATTTGAGTTGCAGTTGTCTGAGACAAATTGAGGATGAGGGGAAAAACAGGGACACACTCACTTGTGTGTAGTCTCTCACACACAAAGGCATTGTTAGTCTGTTATCTCCATCTTAGATCTAGCCTAAAGGGAGCCTTGTCCATCAATAATTATTTCAAGAATATTGCCATGACCTGGGGCAATGGTAAATATCTTTGTAACCTCTCCATCAGCAATGGGTTTGCCTCATAACAAAAATAAATATAAAAGTAGGGTAGCTGTCTCAAATTCACCTGCAGTGAACAGTTAGAAACCAAGTTGCCCATGATGGTGGCACGTATGCACGCAGGGGGCTGGGGCTCCTCGGCTCCAGACAAAATTTTGTTGTACGTGTCACAGTGTTACAATGACAATAAAATAAAGCTTCTTCTATTGACACTGAAGTGGTTCACTTGCACAGCCAACCATCATGTTGGGATACTGAATTTTTAGAACTTCTTGAGTTGGAGCAGATGGGCTGTCTGAATGATGGCAACCCACCAGGGCAGTGCCAGCTGAGTAAAGAACACACTGCCCAAGCTACTGAACATACAGTGTGACACAAGTGGTTAATGACTTCAGAGCTGCAGCTCTTCAGACATGTGTGTCTGTGGCAAAGTGATCGTCTCTCATTTGACCTTACTGGAGGCCTCAGCGAGCTGCTTTGACTTCTTCTCTCTCCGCTCTTTGCCTGGAAATGCTTCAGAACTGTGCCTGTGGAATGTAAACAACAGGTCTGGCATGTGAGGGCCTCCTAATGAGGACTGCAGAGGGCTGGATGAGAAGAAAGGGGGCTCAAACAGGGACAAGGCTTAGAGGTGGTGATGGCAAAGAAGACAGTCCTCCCACAGTATAGAGCAGTCAGGCAAATGAAGAAATAATCAGAATTGTTGTTGCGGTGCAGTCAGACCAAAAGGGAATATTGATGTGCGTGAGCATATACAGTAATATAACGTGGACATTCAGTGATTTTCCTTCACATTTTGCCAGCACACGCTGCCACACTCTGGAGCTGTCTGTCTGTATTGCTGCTGTATTTTTCATCGAGGTTTTAGCTGAAGGCCATCTGTGGTTCTGTGCGTGCAGATTTCATCAAAAGTGGCATCTCTTCTTCTATGCTTCAGCTTGCTGGGTCCTCATGACCAGATCACATGAAAAACAAGCTAAGGTTATCAGCACTTCAAGCAGACACTAGCTAATTTGTTTTTTGGTGGATTATTGGAATGCGCTCTTTTGTTTACACCACCAGTATGACATGTTAATGGCTGCTTTATTTGAACTTCTACTTTAACAACTTACTTTTTGTTGTTGTGTTATTTTTCCTGAAATCCACAATGTTCTACACCAGTTTAATACCGTTTGTTAAGGTTTGGATAAGTACTGGCATCAGGCAGCCAAACTTGATTTTGTTACCAGTTTGTATTTTAGTACAGCCCTACTTCGCATGCTCACAGGTCCATAATTAACATTTTACATAGTTGATGAAGCCTTATAGAGTTTCTGCAGCTGTCTAGTTAAAGGAAATGAAAGGTGAAACTGCTGTGTCCAGGTTTTTGCTGAGTGCTGAAGCTCTCACAGTGTCAGTCAGCCCCCACGCACGCACCGCCCTCACACATCTCACTCCACACAAACACACTTTTCCTAGCAGTGACTGTTTACCGATCTCCAGCCTTGCAGCGTGTGCTGAGCAGTGAAGGGTGGGAGGGGGTGACATAGGCGAAGATCAGCCAACCTTCCTCACGCTCTGCACGTAGCACAATCATTAAAATACTGCTCCCTCTGGAGGGGGGCCAGGAGTCAAAGTTTATAGCAGTTCACTCTTAACTTCTGCTCTGGCCCCACCCTCCCTGTCTTCTCTGTCTGTGCCCCTCTTTCTCTTTTTCTTTTAAGAGCACACACGGTATTATGCCTTACTGACAGGAAGTCCTTTGTCAATCTGCACACCCCTCACCCTCGTCGATTCCCAGCAGAGCAGCTTCTGGAACACCCACCACCACCCTTTTTGTTCTATCAATAAAATAGTTTTTTCAGTTCATGTCAGTTCATGCCGCTGGAGCAAGACCCCCCCCCCCAATCTTTATGTTGGAGTTTTGCTATGATTCAGCTTTGAAGGCCCTGATACTGTGCATTCCAGTGGTAACCTCACTCAAAAGATGTGAGCACAATATGGACACAAGCAACTAGGTCAGATGCGAAGGAAAATAAGATTCAGACATATGTCATGTGGAAGTTTCTTTTTTTGTGCCCTCACTGCATTACCAGACTATTTTGTGCATAAAGATTTTGGTGATACAATTACTGTATAGTACACTAATATAAACCTTTCTAAAAGCATGTATATGGACAGGCTTCCAGAGCCTCCATAGTCTTACTTTATTGATTCTGTTCAACTGCTTGAAGTCCTAATATTTTGAAATACAGTGTATCCTATCATTTCTCTGCACTCAAGAACACTTTTCATGATTCAAGCAGAACGTCTGATAGTATTTCCCTTGGCACAAGACCATGTGAGGGGAGTTTTGTCTTCTGTGTGTTTATACAGTAGTAATAATGCCATGGTTTATACTGATCCAAGTGCATGGAAGAACATGCAGGAACCAGGCTGTTTGTCATATCACTGCTTAGACTCTGTACATGAGGGCTGACTAATCAGCCCTCTGTGTTTGAGCTTACCTCAAGTCCAAAAACACTGGTTTGTTGGCTGTGACCTGTGGCGCTCATGGTCCGATACCATTTGCAGTCTGATGTCCCAGTCAGTGTTTTAAGAAAGCCACCTAGGGATGTGACGATGCACTTAGCTCACGAGACAAGACGATACACGATATTGGTTTCACAAGAATGAGATGAAACAATATTTTAACACTATTTTTAAGAAATCTTCAATTACGAAGTATATGGCTGGAAAATAGTCCTTTATTCCACTGAAAGTTACTAAATGCAAAACAACAGGCGCATTTTTTAACTAATCATCTTATAATGAATGTCACATAACCTCTGCTTTGAGTATGAATTATCATGTGCAGTAAAAGACAATATGCAAGCACTGTAAAAGGTTTTGCCACAAACTGAACTGACTGCTTTCTCTCCTCTCTGATTTCTCATGAGTCCCTTGAGATCTTATAACTGTGCATGAACTATGCATGAGTTTCAGGCTGTGTTTAGACTACGTTTCAGAGGTGTGAAAAAAATGCCACCGTTTCCATTCATTTCTTTGGGGGATTGTGTTCACCACATCCGGCACCAAAATGACGCAACCCCGTGTGGCTAAAAAGTTGGATCTTGTTCCACTTTTACTGCACCAGACGGTGACATCATCTGGCAAATGTGCTGTGCTGACCAGTCACGTAAGGGGGATGATCAGGACGCGGACGCCCACAGGAAGAAGACTCTTTTGTTTAGTTTGTTAGCTTGAGCATTCACTGCTATTCACTGATGAGTTGAGGCCACACACCATGCATTTTTATTAGAACTGGATGTTAAATGGTGTTTTTATCTATCAGACACACTGGTGGTAAATTTGGTGCCAAGGTAGAGTATGCTACATTAGCAGCATGGCTAACCAAAACACAACACAAACTTCTGGGCTGGAAACAAGAATGAAGCCACTCACATCGACTCCTCACAACATGTCCATAGTGTACACATCTAGAACGGTCCCCCTGCAACCCTTTACCCCCCAACCAACGCAACCCCTTGCATTAAAACACAGCAGGAAGTTGCATTTTTGCCAGGCTAATGTGAATGTATGGTCACACTCCATCATAGTGGCCTGGTTCTGTTATGTACTGATATCGCGGGACAGCTTTATGCCTGATGAGAAATATTGTGACATTCGTCACTTACCTACAGTCACCATGTACAGATTTCTTTTTCCCCTCTACAAAAGTTGCATAATGTTTTGTGTAGAAGTCTATTTCTGAAGGAAGGACAAGTGTTTCAGTCCTGCCACCAGTGTGCGAGTCACCACTTGTGTGCTGCTTACTTCAAAGGGACTATCTGTGCTGTATGAATGCGCTCTTTCTGTTGTTTACACCAAGAAGTTTACAAGAGTTCATAGGGGTTCATTGCCAACACCCAAGCAGATCATGGGTGTCTTAAAAGAGCAGGAAAAGCAAGGGGAAGTTGGCATGCAGCATGATATCTCCAGTCTGTTTCTCGTGAGTTAAAAGTCTATAATGAGGCAACTGGACTGTAAGCAGCCTTGGTGCAGGTGAGGTAAGGACAATATGGCACAGCTGTGCCAAGACTGTCTGCTGCATCCACATCACAGGTTAACAAAGGCAATCTGAGCCGCTTCCACAGCTGCGCTTCTGACTGACTAGATCCACATCAGCACTTGTGTTTGCACCAACACACACACTTTTACCACTGTTGTTTAATGACACATGAGATGGAGACACTGCATGTGTACTTTAGCCCTTTCATCATCGTTTTACTAATCATGCTTTTTCATCTTCCTGCCTTCAGGCAATGGTGGCGTGTTACCCTGGAAACGGGACGGGATATGTGCGTCATGTGGATAATCCCAACGGCGATGGACGGTGTGTCACATGCATATATTACCTTAATAAAGATTGGAATGCCAAGGTATGTGAGTGATGTGTGGAGGAAATAATATTAATTACTAACCGATGATGAGTATTTCAATTTGAACTTTATTTAATTCTCCTGTTTCAAATATTTTTGTTTTGATTCAGTTATGGTTCGAAAGTGTCACTGAAATACCCATCAATAGAAAATCGGTTTCATAAAGGCCATGGCTGGTCTTCATATTCCAGCAGGACTTTGTGTCACAAGCATATAGCATGTCAGCCTGGTTCTTATCTTCATGGCAGGGTCGTAACCCTCCGTCCTGCTTCACTCCACACCCATGCAGAGTCCATAGTAGAGGTTACATGTCAGAACGTAATGTTCAGACACTCTGCTCATTTATAATCCCATTAAAACACAGATATCCTGCTAATCCAACCACACCCAATCAGGGAGAGGAGCGCCCCCACACTGCCACTCACACATCTATTGCACCTCCTGCAGGAGAGGTGAGTTTACAGGCAGACTGAAGAGAGATTGAGGGGTTACTGCAGTAGTTTATTATTCAATCATGAGAAAATATTTTATGGACCAAATAAACATTTGAAATAATACGGTGATTTGATGCAAACTGAGCAGTATTTTTGCTGTGGTTTGCTGCAGGAATATTCCAGTAAAGGTCAAATATATGAACTTTGAATAAGCCTATGATCCTTTCTGTCACCACTCATCCTGTCTGGCAGAGCCTACCTGGTCCAACTTGAAAAACTGAACACAGGTTTGCCCTCAGTTAGTCCAGATTCAGTTACTTGTATGTTTTCTTTTTTTTTTTTTAGCAAAGCTGTGTTTTAGAAGAGAAATGTCAGTTATTGATTTTAAATTACTTAATTTGCATACGTTAACAGGATACAGTATACTCTTAATCAACATTGTAGGCCTATATATTTTAAAGGATGGCAGAGATATAACAACTTTGTTTAGTTGACAAGATTTGAAGTATATCCAGATATCTTTGTGCAAAAAAGCATTAAATCCATTCACTAAATTAGATTGTCTATTGCCTGACAAATTTCACAGTTTATGTTGCACTGATTTGGGCTATACAGTGGTATATCTGCATGGATTCAGTACCCTGGATGAGTGCTCGTAATGAGACTGACATCATGAAGCAGATCAGGTACCAGCCAGTACATGACTGTAATCTGTGTGTGTGTGTGTGTGTGTTTTTTTTATTGGTATTAAAGACAAAACATGGGATTGGTGTATTGCCAGTGTTTTTGTAACTAGAAACAGCCAAAGCTGGCTAGTATAGCTGAAACAATACTGTTTGCTGCTTTATTGAGTTTGTTGTGCATGTCTATTGCAACAAAACAACTGTATATAAAAGGAGTGTGATACATGTGGTAAAGAATGCAATGCCATCATCCAACCTAACCTATTAATGTTGATGAGAAGGAATGAATTCAGCACCTGAATACCAGAACACAGTTGCTAGCCTGCTGCAGCTGTCAAAGCAAGTCAATATAAATTTGAGAGCACAGTTGAACTAATTAATTTCCCTCAAATTTGTCACTAGCCCATGACACCCAACCCTAATGCTCACAACATGCCAAGATAGACAAGAATGCGGGCTAATGGTAAATGTTATAGGATAAGAGGTTAAGGAATTAACCTGTTTAATATGAGACAGATAACAGGATGCTGAACACCAGGAAGTAACAGAAAGCAGCAACTGTAAGGCAGAAAGATGACTTTGTTGCTTTTCTGAGGAGCTGGTACCATGACAAGACACAGCAGCAGACAGGAGATTGTCTTCCAGACATCCTCACTTACTTGACCTCCAGATGTGCATATGAGAATTACATACTTCCAGGAAACTCTGTTTTGCCTCTTGATGCTAGTTTGTGGTAGAGTGCAAGCATGAGTCTGCCTTATGGTTATGAGGGTTGCTTGGATGGCAGAGAATGATTATTATTAGCTGTTATCAAGCAAGCAATGAGGAGCTATTTGGGTAATTAATATTATTACAGTATTATTTGACTGCTTGCACCCAGGTCAAATGCACAGGTATTGGTGAACAGTCCTGCTATAAAATAAAGACCTAAATTAACAGCACTTTAACTGTGAAGTAACTGAACCACAAACTATTGCAGTCCACTGATTACGACACATCATTGCAGTCTGCTCATTCTGATAAGTGGGACTAAATTGTGACCCACTTTTCTATCAGTAGTTTATGTTATATTATTTATCATGTATATGGTCTAGCACTTACCCAGCACTTTTTTTTTGTTTATTGTGTATATCAAATCTTTTCCCATATATATATATATATATATGTGTCAGTGTGCATCAGGTGGCTCTTATTGCCCTTATGTTGATCACCTACTGTAAGCTGCTGTATGATTTTTGTACATGCCTCAGTTATGGGCCGTGTTCTGGAACTTTGTTGGACATGAATGATTACAATCTGGTCTCTGATTGGCTGTTCTATCAGGCATGTGATGAGCGGTCTGCTATAGAATGTGGTCCTATGAGAGGGGTGGTTAGTGTCTTTGGAATGTCTAGGTTCACTTGTTCCCATTATTTTGGCTTCAAAATCAACTGTGTCACTTTGATACAAAGTCATTATGAAACTGAAAACATTAAGTGTCAAGTTAGCTGTATGTGAAAATTAATATTTGATGTTTCAGCCCAAATTACATAGTATTTCATTGCATGTAATGGTAAAAAGTACTTTCAAGGATCCGCACTGAATAATCCTAAAAGTCTGAGATACTCAAGTATATGTATTATCCTCTGTTCTCCTGGAAACCCCAGGGTGGTACATCGTGGACTTGAGGCAAGCATTAGCAGTCAACTTTTGAATGTTCCCGTGCACCCATGTGACAAAATAAAAAAAAATAAAAAAAAAAACAAGCTGCGCTAGTGGCAGGGAGAAGGGACAGGACAAGCAAAAGAGTTTGTGGAAGGAAATGAAGCAGCTGCTGGAAATGCTTAGCTTTCTGTTTCCAGTACAGATTCTGTGTCAAGTATACTTTAGGGTTAACACTGCACCTCAAATTATAGAAGTGTTATTAAATATTATAAATATGGACCATGATAAGATTGAGTAACTTTGTAACTGGGGTGTTTTTGTTTGTTTGGTTTATTTATATTTTTTGTTGTTGTTTTTTAACACAACACTGCACAAAAAAGTTGATTTAAAGGACAAGGCTGGTCATTTACTATTTTAACGTCATTTTAAACACTTCCCATACAAAAACTAAAACCAACAACGATTTGCCTCTACACATGGTTAATGTCTGTCAGTCCTGGATTAGCTTGTTCATCTGCGCCACAGGCCTCCATTGTTATTCAAAAATGATTAAAAACACATCAGGGAAACACTCTGCTGCACTGGGTGACATATTTCCTCATTACAAAACGCAAAACCCTGATAGTTGTATCTTGTGCGTGGGCCCCCGACTCTCGCTTATTTCAGACACTAAAAAGTTATGGCTGTTGGGAGCCTCTGGGCCAACACAACAATAGTAATAATAATAATAAAAATCTGGGTTTCCTGTTTCATAAAGAGGAAGTGTCAACCAGTGCAGCAGTGTGTTTGGCTGATGTATTTCTAATCATTTTTGAACAACAATGGAGGCCTGTGGCACAGAAGAATAAGATAATCCAGGACTTAGACTTTAACAGTGAATAGAGGCAAATGATTGTTGGTTGTAGTCTCTGTATGGGCAGTGTTGGAAACACTTAATATAGAAAATGACCAGCCTTATCTTTTAAAGTGCTGTATGTTCATAGGCGAATGTGAAGCAAAGTAACCTTTTTGCTTTGATAGAGACATACACACCACTTTGTATTTCCTACATTAGCAATCACGATTACTGAGTCTTCCATCCTGTTTCTTTCCAGTTTTATACAAATCAGCAGTTCTTTTTTGTGAGACATTCACATCGACAGATGCTTCCTGTGATTAGCAAACTCAAAATGTTTGAATGTTTTTATAAGGTGTTTAAGTATTCAAGGTTGTTCTCAATAAGCAAAGCTCTGATACGGCTGTAGGATCAGGAACGGTAAACAATGAAGCTGATGTGTATCAGAAAGATCCAACTAAAAACTAACTCTGGATAAAATACATGTCCCGTTTGCTATGAATCCCTTGTGTGTAATTAGATCATTTGTATCCAGCATGGGAATGGTGGATTCCACATTAACAATGGAAGCTATGATATGGAGAAACAGTTAATACAGTAGATGTACAGTAAATACAGTATATTGAATAGCTATTTCAGGAAAAAAAGATGTATCAGAAACATGGTCTTATTTCATAAAAATCTTATGTTCTGCTGTTACCTTAAAGGGTTAAAAAGAGTCACATTTCCATAACCATGAAAATCTGTGGAGTGGATTTTGGTTAAATGGGATATATATTGAATACAGTTGTGTTCTCCTGAAATACAACCTGCTGTGACGTCCCAACCTGTTTCACCTAGGTAACTGCACTGACTCCACTACAGGTCAAAACATTACTGTATTCTAAGGTTATTTTTGCTTTTTTGAATTGTATAACCATTGTGCATATTTTCTATGATTAAAAAAATACGTTCAAATGCCATTCTGTGTCAGTATGATGCTTTTCCCATCCAGGGTCTTAAAGTGCACCGCCTCATGTTGTCATTTGACATGAGTTCAGCTTGGTGTCAGTGAGAAGATCATGTCCTGCAGGCGAGGGTTGAACTCTGTTCACTCTAATCCACATGACATCATTTCAGCCCCACACACTGAATGTTCTTACTAAGCTGGTAATACGTGCAGAAATACACTTGTTAAAATCAGTGGTCCTTAAACTGCTTATTAAAGAAACATTTCTTTTGTCCTCTTGAAGCCTCGTGTGCTTGATTTAATGTAGTCACTCCACCGGCATTCCCCCTCACTCAGAGTGTTATAAATGGGAATAACATTGCACCTCCAACAACAGGGTGTGAACCTTTTTGCCTTGCGTGTGAAGAGAGGGGCCTACCATATCAGCCATGTGAGAGTTTAAGAGGCACACTTGCAGCAATCTGCTTTTTCACTCTCCAGGTCCTTTATCCAGCCAGAGCAGTTTTCCTGTGGCTTATTCTTCCTATCCCTCCACAGGAAAGCTGTCCCCCACTGCTGCTTCCTATCCTGAGCTTTCCTCCTAGCCCTTCGAGTTGGACAAGCCTTTTCCTTTAACATTGTCGTCCTATGTTGATAATGTAGCAAGCCTCACGTTTTGGTTATATTTGAATATCTTTTATATGAGTAATGTGTGCAGATTTGGGTGGACTTTATCTTCTCTGTCTGTCTGTTTATACCTTTTCATGTGGATGGACAGGATATGAATCAAATCCGGAAATGTGATCACTACAGAGGTTTCATTTAGTGTTTGTTTCCTCAAGTCTCTCTTCACCATCCTGCTGTCGCTTTGTCCTAATTTGTGTACATAACAGGGCTGTTTCTTCTTCTGCTGCCGCTGCAGGAACACGGCGGCCTCCTCCGAATCTTCCCAGAAGGAAAGGCCCAGTTTGCCGACATAGAGCCTAAATTTGACCGTCTACTGCTGTTCTGGTCAGACAGACGGAACCCTCATGAGGTTCAGCCTGCCTTCGCCACCAGGTCGGCATCCAAGTCTGTTCACTCCACAAGCTCAGATGATGCGGTGCGCCTTGCAGCGACTCACCCCTCTCATTCTGTTTCTACAGGTATGCCATCACAGTGTGGTATTTTGATGCAGACGAGCGAGCCAGAGCTAAAGAAAAGTATTTAACAGGTAGGATTTTAATGTACCAAATATAGAATCCTGCTTCTGGTATGCTGTGCCTTGTGCTGTTTTACAGTATCTTGTGTGTTTGTTTCCTCTGTGTGAAGGTGCAGGAGAAAAGGGAGTAAAGGTTGAACTTGGCAAACCATCAGATCCCAGCTAGTGGAAAGCCTGAGTCACCTACCAACAGCCATTAAGTGCTCTGTTCCAAGAAAGTGGCCTATAGAGAGGATGTGTTTGTGTGTGTCTTACAAAGCAAACAGCAGACTTTTACTGAGTGCATGGAAGAGCCATACTTTTGGGACAAAAGAAACAAATACACAGTCCTTTCGGTTCATTTTCAGCAAATCTAGACGACCCAGCAGACCACGAATGTCGTGGCATTGTACTGAAACGGCTGACATTTTCAAAAAAAATTCACCTAACACAGGAATTAAGCTCTAAGAGAGTCTGCATCTTTCACATATTGGTTTTTGCAGTGATTTCCTTAAAGGTACAGTGTTCTGCATATGCTTAATGTGTTATGCTTTTCACATGGAATCAGCTGTTATAAGCTACTGTATGGCAAAATGTGCTTGCTTCTGCAATAATATGAGGAATGATCTGAATTAAAAAGTTTCTGATAGAACTTCACTGGTCTTAGTTTGAGTGCATTCATTTGCAGCACAGCGGTGAGTGTGTCACTTGTGGTCTCGCCTTTCCTGCCAAATCTCACATGGATATGAGATCTATGAATGATCAATTGGCATACATAGCCCTATCTATGAACTGATTAAAGAACGGTATCATTTATTGCTTTACTTCCTGTCTGACCTACAGCATACACAGATCTGTGCCGCCCTCTGCAGGAAACCCACTATGTAGCACACCTACAATTTTGTACTGTTATGGGTAAATGAATTCCATGTGATGAGAGAAAAAACATATTTGGCTTTAGAACAACCATTAACAAATGTTCATTTTTTACTCCACCTGTATTATATCTGGTCATTTTTCTTAAAACAGAACCGAAAATAATCAGATTCTAATATTGTGCAGGCACTGTTTCAGTAATGATGAGTAATGTTATAGGGAAGTCTCTGAAGTTCAGACTTCCTAGGATGCCCTGACCATATTAATCGAATGGTAAATCACATCAAGTAAACCTATTTTACGAATGCCTTTTCAAGTTGAGTTTTCTAACACCACTCATTGTTTTGCATTATGTGCCAGAGTAGCATATTTGTTTACAGTGTTCAACTAAATGTATCAGTGGCTTTATATTTACACTTTATGCAATAGATCCCACAAGTCAGTGCTCAAATAAAATTAGTTCCTCGGTCGCTTTCATGCATTTCTTGGATCAGAAATTAAATTCTCAAAACGGCTTGGTCAACCTCCACATCATCCAGTCACATCATATCAGCTTTTAGAATCCAACCGTCTTATTAAAACAGTGTGAAACATATCTGGTGTGTTCATCTTTTTGTTTTCCTATTACTGTTAGTCAGTAAGCTTGTTATTATAGATCAATCATGTAATAGTTTTCTGTAGACTTATGAGTGTTTATTGAATTTTAAAAATTAGTGTAAGGAAGCAGGATGAAAACTTTGAAATATACAGTATGTGAAAAACTAAAAATATATATCTACATAAAGTGCAAATGGGATGTAAGACAGGATGGCCATTAACACTGTTGACTGTATTTTGATGGTCAAATGTATTGATTATTGGCTAGCCACACATAACCAACAGTTGAAGGGGAACAGTAGTGTACTGGCTGAGAGGCCCCTTATGATGAGAGCGCCAGCTGCCTGCTTCACTGCTACTTCATACGTCACAGAGGCTTTCTCACTACAAATTAATGGCCACATGCTTTTGAGGTCTACGCTGAAAATATTTTTAAAAATTGCAGAAATCAGTAAAGTAACTTTTTAGAGATCCACACAAAGCTGATCCTAAAACATGAGCAACTGTCAATGTATTATTCAATTATTGCTGTGCTATTAAAAATGAGTTACTTTTTTCACTTTAATATGAATTAAATTAATATTTCCTCAGTTTGAACATATTTATGAAAAAGAATGTCTCCATAGACAGTACATAAAATAGTAATGCAATACATATTACAAAGGTCAGGACTTATATTACAGTATTCATTATAAACTATACAACTGTTTCAGAGCATTCAACATTAGATGATACTTTGTACAAGTGTGCAAATTAATGTCTTGTCAGTGGGCCATCATATACTGGCATACAAAAAGTGTTAGTTCTTCTTCTCTAGACACAGTAAATATGTGGATGTATTGAGGGTGACTTTCATCCCCCAGTGCCTCAGTCAATAAAAGAGACTGTGCAAAAATATACAAATAAAAGCCACAGGTCACGGCAGTCAATAATGACTGAGCTCCTCTGGAGGAGGAGGAAGCTGGTAACTGTCGTCCCCTCCAATATAGGCACCAATGCCGCTGCCTTGGCTTCCCCACTCGTAACTGTCAGCAGCCAGACTGGAGAATTCAAAAACAAACATCCACTGAACTAAACCACTGACCTCACTACCTTCTGCCACATCCCATGCTTCATGTACAGTATTTTGAGTATAGTTAATAGTGTTTTTACCTGGCTTGGATGTTCTGAGGCATGACACTCCACGCTAGATCATCATCGCTGTCGTAACGCCGTGGGTTATCGAAAAAATAGGCCCTAGAGGAGAAGACGTGTCCAGGAAGCCCTGAGCCACTCTGCAGGACATGCCAAACACAAACAAGGCAACAATATTTCATTATATTGTAACGTTTTTAAAATGTAATTTCACATAACTAAAGCTTAAGGTAGTGGTTCCAAACCTTTATGAGCTCTTAGAATAAAGCAATATCTACTCTTCACACATTGAAATTTTCCCCTTAGAAGGTTTACTTTGACTAAATTCTAGAGGTCTGCAATGACTAACCTGTCCTGTATTTCACTTTAGCTACAGTGTGTTTTATCGGATTTCCCCTTAGAACCACACAGATTTGTCTTGTGACCACCAGGTAGGGAACCGCTGGCTCAGGGTCATTGCTGGCTCACCCTGTCTAGGTTAGGCTGCCGAACTCTGAAGAAGAAAACCACAAGAGAAGTGGGCAGCAGTTCCCATACAAACAAGATCACCCCGAAGATGATGTAGCCAGTGTCGCCCAGAGTTGACTGTAAATCTGCCTGAAAGAAAAACATTCCACATTACTTTAGAGCATGCTATTTATTTCCTAATAGCGCTAATGACGAGCCATGTAAGTGCCTCTAAGACAAATATTTCCTGCAATAGTGTTCCAGGTTTCTCACATAAAAACCTCAACTAAAGCTGAGTTGCATCTGCCTAGGTTGAAATGCTGAAGGATAATACAAAATAATAATCATCAAAATATTTTAAAGGAACATTTTGGACATTTGATGAAATTGCTTATGCAATTTCTTGCATAAAGTTAGATGAGGGGATTGATTCCACTCTTATATCTGTACTGTAAAAAACAAACTACAGATTGTACAGTGAGCGTAGCCTAGCATAGTTTAGTAAAGAGTCTCTGGTGGTTACCAGGCAAATTCAGGGTGAGGACAAGACTCCAGGGGTACAACTCATGTCTTATAAAATCGTTCCTACGTCCCTGAGGACTGAGGATGGTGCTTGGCAAGCCATGAGCGAGGACACAGGAGGCCATCCTTTATCAGTAAGCAGTCTGTGATTGAACAATTCAAATTAAGGATCTGAGGAAAGGCTGTCTCATGTTGTTAACGTGTTTCCTCGAGTGCTCTCTCCTTTTCCTCACATCATACATGGGTGGGACAAAAACACAAGATAAAGATGCAAGGGAGGGAAGTGACAGTGATTATAAAAGACTTGGGATGTACCCCGGGAAGTCACTGCAGCTGGCTAGAATGAAATATAACATGATAATTACTGAGTTTTAGAGGAGCTGGCAGGTAGATTTTGCTACCTTTGGCTTTATGTTAGGCTAACCAGCTGCTACGAATTTACTAAACACAAAAAAGTGGCACCATCTGACCTGGCAAGAAAACAAATAAACATATTTCCCAAATTGTTAAACAATTTCCTTAAGACATTATGACTGTTGGTGGTTTACCTGATCAGAAACGTTGTACCAGTCATAGTCAAAGGAGTTAATGCTCCTGTTAGAAAGTCCCAAAACAACCAGATTGTAGCAGGCCCTGGATGAGTACAGGAGGATGACGATGGCTCCTATGACTGTCACCTGGCACACTGAAGTCCCCTATACAGTTTGAATAGTTCCATTAAGAAATTACATCTTAACCATGCATCTGCCTTTAGGAGAGAATGAGACATACCACATGGAAAGGCTTCAGACCTTAGTACCTAGTAATTTTATTGGCCAGCATGAATCAACCAACCCACTGAACTGTACTTTAAGCTTGTGAATACACAACAGTACATCCAGTCATGCACAAGAACAACACTGTGTTGCTAGGGAACAATCACTGTGGACAAAGCATGAATTATGTGGAGATGTGCATCGTCACAGTGTGTTATGCAGCACATAATACTTCTACCTGCTAGTTACACACATCAACATGTAACTTACCACAAACCATTTCTAATGTGACTAAAACTATTCATATTTGATTTTACTACTTTCTTTTAAAGTTGACTCCAGCTCCACAGGGAAGATTTTCTCACCTTAGATTCCAGGTAAATGTTGGCCAGTGACATCTTAGCGATCTTGTAAAGACACATAGAGAGCGAGATGGCGCACAGGACGAACAGCGTGTCGTTGATTGCAACCCTCACTAGCACAATGGTGTGGGCTTCTGCAGAAGACATCTTCACCAGCAGGGCACATGCTAAATTCACAACTAAAAACACCAGGCTGACAAACAGGAAGAGCAGGTACAGCGGCAGCCTGTGGGTCAGCAGACAGACAGGGAAACATACAATTCAGGTCAAATTGTAGCTCTTTTTTACATTACTTTAGCTGAGACAGTTCACACGATGGTTAGAAAAATATCATTTAATGAAATCTAGTAAATGATCCCTTTCTGCTAAAGGTCACTACTTGGTCATACCTGTATCTCAAAAGCTCTGGTGCATATTTCGACTTTGCCTTAAAAATGACCTGTGAAAAGAAAGCACAAACTGCATGATGCAAATGTGTCGTGCTACTCCGGCAGCACATTTTCACTTCCTCTTCAGAAAAATAACATTTTTAGGAACCACGCAGTAGAAAATGGCAGAACGGCTTGAGCTTTAGACACACGATACAGCGCAGAGCGACTTACAGCTCTCACTGTCAGATGTTACTCTAATCATCACAGGAGGATTATGATAAAAATAAGCTTTAGGCAGAGGCCATGGGAGCTATTGTTTGATATGTGGGTTATGTAAACAGCTAGGCAAGCACTGATTGACCACAAATTGCAGCTACATTCTGTGATATTACTTTTTGCTGTATGCCCACTCCTGGTTGCACGGTTTTACAAGTAGGACTCGTGAATATGGTTCACAGCTCACAACACTGATGTAATTATTAAAGCTATAATTTCATTGCTCTGTCTCTGTACCATGTGGTTTCTTTTAATCACTGAAAGCCAGTTTATATTTCGTCCAATGGTTGCACCAGCCCAAAAAGTTTCTTTCC